GGCAGTAGTGGAGATATTTGCTGTATTAGGGAAATTTATATTTCTTTTTTCACTGCATCTGTTTTATAGTTTTATTGATCAAAAACATAACAAGAAAATGTATGACATATTAGAAGATTGTAACTATGATACCTGTGCCAGCGTCACCACATGACATTGCTATACCTAAGCTAATGATAATAAAAACATGATCAATGCTCATTTTGTATTTTTGTATACATTTCTGTTGCATTCTTCACAACAAGTACAAGAAATGAAATGTTAGGATACTTAGGAGTTGATTTTTTCCAAACTGGAAACACTTATTTTTTAAGATTCTTTTTTTCCGGCTAATGTATAGTCACCCTATTTTAGATGCAGTACCCTCTGTGATCCAATGGGCTTCTTGACTGGGATGTTAACTTTGTTCTCAGAATCTACTTCTTCCTCTTTTTGAGCATTTATTGGATTTTATCATCACCCATGGAAGATTTTCTTGGTTCTTCTGACTCTAAAATTTTTTTCTTTGAATTACCTTTGTCATGTTCCCTCTTTTACTAGACATAATGTTTGTTTTTTGATCTAACAAGCCTGCTCCTTCCTCCTCAGGACTTTAACTAGATACTCAGGAAGGAAAAACTGTTTCTTTCTAATTATTCTTCCACCCTGGTATTCAAGTAGAGACCAGGGTGATTCAATAAAGTTGCTATGTCCAGTTGTGTCATTTTTTATTATACTGTGCAGAGTGTACTCCATAATTTTGACTGCAGCTGTTTATTTATTGTACTGATTTCTTCATACATTTGTTGAGCAGCTGGCAGCTGTGTTCTTTTATCCAGGAATTATACCACTCAGCTTCTGTTGTGTTTATTAGGAGTTTGTGGTTTTGGCTTATCATATGGATTGTATAGGCTAGTATACAGACCACTCTCCTTTGCCTTCTTCACTTGGCCACTTTTTCTGCTATGGAATGTTATTTATCTCCTTTAGTTAAGTAACTTTATATGTATTCTTATGTGTTAGTGCTTTTTATTGGTTCATTTGTACGTGTTCCCTGTGTGTTTTCTTCCTCCTTCTTCTAGACTCACTAATATGTATAAAATTTTGCTGTTCTGTACTTCTGTGGCATACCCATTTGGTTGTTTCTCAGTTGTTGGTACCCTTGTTTTTTGACTCATATTCATTCCAGTGGGATTCTTCTATAGTCTTGCATCCTCACTGATGCATGAATTTTACTCTTATTCCAATCTTATATACATTGGTATGATACTGTTACCATGCTTCAGTTTCTGGTGTTGATGGGTTTTCATCTGTGTGAGATCTACTTTTACTTCTTCCAGTCCCACTTCTTCTCTTGTTTCATATCCTCAAACAGTTGGGTGAGATTTCTTGGAATTCTTATGTTCCTGCTGTATTTCAATGGGCAATTTCCCTTTTTTCCTTGTAGTATTCTGTTCAAACAGAATATTACAAAAGATTGTTTTGAAGTTTTTGCATCCTTTACCAGGTGTTAGATATGAAGAGATAACAACTACCTTCTTTTCACCCTTGAGCTGAACATTATGCCTGCTACGTGTGTCACACATTGTTTATTGGATTTTATCCCATGTTTCTGGTGGTACAATTTATGTGGGACATGATGCTTTATGACACCAATCAATTTGACTTTTCCCTTTAATAGTGTACATAGGTGGTGTTTTTTGTGTTACATATGGCTTACTCACAGGCAGTACTGTGTAAAATTCAGAGTGCGTGATCCCCAAATGGCTAGCAGAAAGCAAAGTAATTGCATGGTAAAACCATCCCTGGATTATATTCCAGGTCATGCAGGGGTAAAGTTAAACAAGGAAGTTGGCAAGCTCACAGGAGAAGCCCCTTTATCAAATCCAGCACAGCTCTACTGACAAGATTTTGACATCCTCTGCACTAGTAAGATGAAAGCAACAACCATGGAAAGTCTTTATTGTCATTCAGAGCACAAAAGTTGGGGAAGCAGTAGGATATTATACAGCCATTGATAAAATCAGTAAAGGGATTCTCTTCCATTTTCTGCAAGGCAGATGGTATGTACATGAGGAATCAAAGCCTGTTGTTGCAAACCATAGAAGTTGAAGAATTTTAACAAGATGCAACAAAAAATTCTGTTATTGAAGTAAAATGTTTGTGAACTTATATCACAGTTCTTCCTTTCTCCTCATGTCTTTATCTAGAGTGCTTGTTCAACTATTGTTAGCTGGGATTTTGGTATTAAGGTGGGAGAAAGTGAGGTAAAAAAGTTCCCTTCAATAAAATGGACATCCTTATATATGATCAGTTGTTATGTGTTGTCATCAATTATATGTATCTGTTGTCATGTGACCCAAAGCATACACACACTGGCAGATGGCTACAAATATGAATGAATTTTTTATGGTTATGAAGTAAATGTTTCAAGAAGTTGGACTTTGTTGATTTCAAACAATGAAGAATTATTATAATATACCATAAAAGAAACACGGTTCAAGTTCACATTATATTTCTTCTTTACACTTGCTGACTTCAGGTTTTAATAGACAAATTAATCTACATTGTTACAGGTATCCCTCATATGAATGATATTACCTGTGTAGGTTTTTGTATGAGAATTTGGACTCGTTATTATAGACAGTGTGATCAAACAAAAGACAAACAAACACGAGAGTTTCTAAAGTGATCAAATATCTCACAATTCATGATTTGTAGCTCAGCTGCTCATTACAAAATTGGTAAATTTTGGTACCATATCTCTGTGATAACCTTGTTCTATATTTAATACAAATAGGTCATCGACAATAAACTTCAGTTAGTTCAATAATGACAAAACTGAGAACAATTTATTAACACATAAAGATGAGTTACACAATATAATTCATACATACTGGACATGCTGAGCAGTAAATTAGATTAAAACCTGCATGGTAATGTCTGCAGAAGAGATAGTAACATAACATAATGTTTTGGGACAACATTGGACCTATTGATCCATCTCTCTGTTCCATCCTCTAAACTAAACTAAAATAATTAAAACAAAAAAACCCTCAAATCCAGCCCATATCATTCATATAGTTATCAAGCTTTCTCTTAAACTCACTTAAATGTACTGCCTCTACAACATCCAAAGGCCAACCACCCTGTTAGAAGAATGAAACTGTCTTAGCTGAAGATGACTCCTACCTAGCCAAAATTTATATTTGTGTCCCCTAGTCCTATTATTTTCACTCTTAAATATGAAAAAAAAAATGATGCATCAACACTATCAATTCCCTTAATAATCTTAAACACATCAATCAGATCTCCTCTAACTCCTCTTTTTTTTTCAAGAGAAAACAATTTGAGAGATCTTAACCTATCTTCAGATGATAACGTTTACATCCTAGTAACACTCCTCAGAACTCTTTCCAACAATGACCCTATCCTGGGTGATCATAAGTAATGAAGTGAATAATTTTGATTGGCCTTAGCTGATATCTAAGAAAATAATGTCATCCCTTTGCAAGTGCCCTTTTAATACTGTCAAACCTGCTACTAGATATGTTTTTTCAAGTGTGGGAGGCTTAAGAATCTTTCAGTTTTAATAACACAAAACTAGATCTAATAGGATAAAGCACAATGTAATGCAGTAGGCAACTACTTACTTTTTTACTTTAAAAAATGAGCATTTCTACTTTCTGTAGCAACAGAAATGGTTTAATTACTTTATTGGTTTTAAGCCTCCACCATTGTGAGTAGATCTTATAGCTGAAATGTTGAACCAAGAAGAGTACCTGAATTTATGTAGTCTTTAACCTTTGCTTAGGTTAAAGTACTTCTACTCTTTCAACATGAGAAGTACACTACAAAAACCATTAGAAGTCAACCAGAAATGCAACTGACATTACGTCTGTTTTTTTGTCAAAAGAAAAATCAAGTGGAATCTCTTTTTAAAAATTTAGTTAAAAAAAGGATGTTACTTAGACAGATTGATTTTGGTATGGAAATTTGTGTTTTAAAATACAGGTCAGTCTAAAATTGTCTATTTGCATATCTATGCCCCCAGTGGCACAGTGGTATGTCTGTGGACTTGCAATGCTAGAAACTGGGTTTCTATACCTATGGTGGGTGGAGCACATATAGCCCATTGTGTAGCTTTGTGCTTAATTACAAACAAAACAAAAAAACACAAAATTATATATATCTAAGTCAATGGCTTCCAGAAGATTTATTAAAAATAAAAAACTTTGTTGTTATGTGTACAGTAGTTAGTTCCTTACTTTATTATATAAACCATAATGTAATTTTCTTCATTAGTTATTTATATTATCAAAATTGATTAATAGAGTATAGCTTAGTAGTTAGTTATGTTATGGAAGAGAAATGATGGTTTATGTAATCCATCTACATTTTGTTTTAAATTGTAACTTTTCATAGTTATAAAAACAAATTAACTGCAGATGTAATTTTCTACATTCTTCTTAATGCACTTAACCTATTTTATAAACATTTGAAGGCCTATTGGTTTTCCAATATTTTGCCATTTTCAGCATTTAAACTGTGACTTTTCTTAGTTATTATTTTGTAGAATCCTCATATCAGTGTTATAGTGTAACTTTTTGATGATATTTGTGATATTTAGAAACATCATGTATTTTTGTACATTCTTGTAACTATTAATTATGGTTGTGATCTTTAGAATAATTATGTTTTGTAACTGTTATTGGTAAATATGGTATTCTTAAATTTCATGTTTTATAATGCAACTCTTGATGAAGGTTATGCTCTCCATAAACTTTACCTAATTCTATGGGGCAACTTGTGATAAAGGTTCTTAATTACTCATATTTTTAATATTTGAAGTGTAATTCTTGATAATGTGTTTTGTCTTCAGAATCTTTAAGTATATTTTCCAGTGTAACATATGATGAAGGTTGTGAGTTTCATGTATAGTTCTTAGACTATAACTCTTAATAATGGTTGTGAACTTCAGAATGTAATTATGTTAGTACTGTTTTTTTTTTCTTTCTTAGAATCCCAAAATTCCATTATTATTTTCTGCAAGGAAAGTGTTTCTTCTAGTCGTGATGATGTATACTGGTCTATTACCTTTCGTGCCACTACGGGAATCATGTTTAGAGTTATTTATGCCCCAGGTTTTAGCTAGGTAGGTTTATCTTTAGTGTAACTTACAAAAAATAATGAAAGACTTACAGCAAGAAAACAGTTACAAACTACCAGGATGCTTTTGTCAACATTTTAAATTTACAATCAGCAGTCTTAAAATCTTACCAACCTATTAGGACTTTTAGTTTTCAAATTGAATATTAAAATTGAATATAATTCCTTTCTTTAAATAGTTGTCAATTATTTACAAAAGTGCTGAATCTGTTTTTTAAAAAATGTTTGTACCTGCACATATAGATGTTTATTGGCAATACACTGTAGATCTAAATCATTAATTTACTTGGAAAAATTGAGAAATTTTTAAAAAATCTTAATTATTTCTGTGACTTGTCATTTTTATGCAGTGTTTTTAAGGGAAAATAGTTGTGCTTTAATGATAATTTTGTGCTATCACTATAAAAGCTTTTATCAAACAACCAGGTTGTCAATGTAATGTATCAATCAACCATTATACTACCAGGATAGTATAATAAATTGCAAATTTATGAAGCACAATACAAGACTTACAAATCTCAGAAATTAATAAATTAGTGCCTAGTTAGGACTTTGTAACTAAATATCTCAAACACAATTACAAATATTCAAAGAAGCAACACTGTCAATGTTAAATCACACAAAATAATAACAATAATAACAAATTAGGAAAAAAGAACTAGAAGAAGTGAACAACCTAATTTGTAAGATTATACAATAGAGCAATATTAAATACTTCTCAAAAATGTGACAAATAGTAACCAAATGAGTATCTGCAATGATGTATTTTTTCTAATACTCAACAAATATATCTTATTTATCCCTAGGCCACCCTCTCTGGCCAGTCTCTTTTAACTACAGAGTGTAGGCTTTTTATTTTCTTGCAGAGCCAAAAGCAGAAATAGTCTGCAGGGCTCTTCTATCCCAGCCTTTAGAGGCAATGGTCAGGGGCTGCAATAGGCCCCCAAAAGATCTATAGTCTGTGATGCCCTGAAATACATTCTGAGCTATTTAAGACACCTTTTTTTATATAAAATGTAAATCAGAATTTTGATTTATGCACCAATTTAATTTGATAGTTATACATGGGTCTGTTAGGTCATATTTTCAACTGTACATATCTGTATAATATTTTTGGCAAAACACTCTTTTGCACACTCTTATCTATGCACCTGTTTAATTACAATTGCTAACATAATAACTCATCAGTAGTTATTGAATCAAAAATGTTTTTTTAAAAGCTGGAAGACTGATATTGACTTTGAACAAAATATGAAGACACCCATCATGTAAAAAACTTCACTTATAAGTTTTTGATGGTTTTGTGATATATAAGAGTAGAATATTTAGGATAATAACCGTAATGGGAATAATACTAAACTATTAGCTATAGGGACCAAACTGTTATTAAAAATAAAATGTGCACTCACCAGCATGCCTTCTTAAACGTGAACCTTCCAAGCTTTTGTGGAAGTGAAGTCTCTGGCAATGTTGTTTTCAAAAGACAGTATAGTCAAGTTGTTTAGTTGCTCTTGCAGAATTGTTGTTCTTGGAAAAGCTTCTTTCACTATGTGCAACAGTCACCGAGATGGTGAAAATCAGAAAAGCAATCCAAAAAATTGAGAAAGTCTGTTAACCATGTCTTGATGGAAGAAAATGCAACATTTTAAGAAGATCTGTGTTGAGTGAATCAGGAAGGATAAATTTTAAAGCTTCCACCTCCTCAGTGAGCATGTTGCAATCAGTGGCACAATATTTCAACTCCAACTTGGTAACTGCTGAAATTCATCCATAAAGCCAAATACCTTGTGGTGTATTCTCAGTTGTTCTAATTAATCTGCCATTAAGAGATGAAATAACTGTGTCCAATACCCTGTTGAAACAGTTTATACAGAAAGCCCCCTGTGCATCTGTGACAGGTTCATTATCAGCTTTGTACTAAAACATCTTCCTTCTTCATATTTTAGTATCCTTTAAAACTGGATTTGTCTGTAGATCATTTGCAATTTCTCTTGCATCAATCAGTACACTTTTCTGTTAATCTTTTAGCAACTTACACACGCTTTCTAAGCTTTGGACTTCACTTGCTAAGTCTACAGTTGCTTTGTAGTTTTTTATTGACATGAAACAAAATATCATATAAAAATGATAGCAATAAAGAACTTGAAATTCTTCAGTTCTTTGCACTCATTCTACCTCACTGTGAGATTGGGGTTCTTTTAGCGTTTCTGCAATTTTGACTAATGCATTGTAGAACTCTGCTAACTGTTACCTCAAAGCTTTAAAACTCTCAACATGGCACTCCCTCATGTTTCACTCAGAAATTTTGCAGACAGCTACTTTACTAACTCATAAAAAATAGCCTGCCTCTGTGTTGATGCCAAAAACACGACATACAAATGATGAACAACACCAGAAAGTGTCATTGCTTCTGGAAAAGGTTTTGCCAAATAATCAAGCAGCAGATTGTAATTGTGACATGCACATGAAGTGAAAAATGCTCTTGGATTTATTTCTAGAAGATGTGCTTGTATACCTGATTTGTGCCCTTCCATATTAGCACCATTGTCATAGCTTTGGCCAGGAATGTTGACAAAGTCTAATCCCAGTTCTTTCAACTCATACAGTAAGACAATGAGAAATTTTTTACCTTTCCTTCACCTACACAAAAATATATGAAATGCTTGTAAATTTCAGGAGGAACATTGAATGAACTGTCTGAGACATAACATATACTTAGTAACATCTCTTCATTATGGCTGAAGTCTGGTGTACAGTGTAATATCACAAAATAATATATGGCAAATTTTATTCTGTATACACTCTCCCAAGTAGTGATCATCAATTTCTTTATTCTTCATTCTTCTCAGATGCAACTTCATGGTTGAATCGAATTTCACTATCAAATGTACAAGACCTATAAAATTTCCATTGTGTGGCTGGCACAGTTTTTCAACTGAACCATGAAAATTTATGTTGTGCTCAGCCAGAAACTGTATGTTGATTTGAAGATGTTCAAAGACATTTTGCCAATGAACTCTTTTATTACTGATTAGTTGTAGGCTTAGATTATCCACAGTGCATCCCTTTTTCAGTCATTGTTCGAGTTCAAACCAATTGGACTTTTTGTGTTCAGTCAGACATGCATTAGCCTTTACCCAATCACAGAATCTACAAAATGCTAAAGCCATGTTGCAGTTACCAAAGAACTTGCAGCATAAACAAAACACACAATCCTTTTATGTGGAGTATACAACCCATTTATGATTTACAATTTCTCCATTTGCTAGATTTCATTTTGTCAGATATAAAAGACTGTTTAGTGTAGGTAGTATTATTAATTTATTTAATTTGTGTTTGTAATTCATTGATGTCGAGGCTATGAAGATTTCTAGAAGGCCTAAGTGATAGATGTATAAATAGGTGCAACCAGACGAGTGGAAACAGTGTAAAAGCAAAGTCATGTGAAAGAGAAGTTGGATCAGAGAAAAGTTAGAAAACATAAAGTTAACCATCATTGGAGTGAATGGCCTAATGATTGATATGTTAGAGTGAGATTAACAGTTTGAAAGAGATAAGGAGAATAATTTGTCTTGTCAAAGGGTGTTCTGAACTAACTGAACTTGCTGAAGAGCAGACAATTATTGGAAGATTAGGATACAACTGTGTTAACTCGCGGGATAACGTAAGTGAATTATACGTAGATACTATTGCGATAAAAATAGAGAAAAATAGTTCAGCTTGTCAACTGAATTCTAAATGAATTGAATTAGGATAAATGGACTTTTAACAAGAAGAAGAGAACTGTATAGTGTATAAAATAGAACTATCATCTCCATAGTGTAAAGAATTTTTGTACATACATTTAGCTTGTTCCGAATATATATATATTATTTTATAAGGAAGTGGAGTGCGTGCTGTTCATTTATTGTTGAATTTATCACCAACAAGTCACAGACAGCTACTGTAGAAGAATCCATAGCCCAACACACTCATATATTTACATTACTATATATACCACTAAAAAGTAGTTTCTGACATTTTACTAGCCACAGCCAGGATTATACAGTGGTAAACAGAGGTAGAAGAAAACATGAATGACAGCAGAAATAAGTAGGCCTATATATATGCACAACTGTAGTAGTAGTGCAAATAGTGTGGAGATTACAATCACACTATAAAACCATGTCAAATTTTGATAAATGGATAGAAAGTGTAGAGCATCTCGGGTTAAAAGATATTGAACTACGAGAGTTTGATAAACAAGAACTAGAGAAAGAAGAGTGGCAACAAAAGAGAGAGGAAGAAAGACCGGAAGAAGAAAATTAGATAAGGGAAAGACTGGAAATAGAGAGAGAGAGAGAATACAAGCACAAATTGAGAAAGAGGAGAGACTAGAAACATAGAGAATAAGAGCACAAATGACAACAGAGTCTGGGCCAGTCGATCCAAGCTTCCCAAATTTGATAAACAGAAAGATGACATGGATGCTTTCCTGGAGAGATATGAGAGATTCGCCAAAGTTAGATCTGGGACAGAGGCAACTAGGCAGTCTGTTTCAGCCCACTTCTCACGGGAAATGGTCTACAAGTATATGCAGGCATGATGTCAGAAGATGTCATGGACTATGAGAAGTTAAAACCGGCTTTGTTTAAATGATATGAACTTACTGAAGAAAGTTTTTACTGGAAGATCAGAGGAGTCAAACCTGACACTGGAGAAACTATTTCAGTTGGTGGCACACCTATGGTGATACTTCACAAGATGGACTGACCTGGCCAAATGTGACAATAGGTTTGAGGGACTGGCAGAGCAATTAGTACGTGAACAGCTCATGATCATATGTTCAACTGGTATGTCACTGTTCCTAAAGGAGAGAGAGAACCAAAAGAAGTGAAGGAGATAATCAAGTTAGCAGAACAGTATATGGAAGCCCATGGAGGGAGTATAACTGGCAAGTCCAAATATATCCAGTTAAATTTGATACCAATGATGGCTGACCAGAAGCAAGAGTCCACCAAACGTGACAGAAGGTTAATAGACAGAAGGGAGAAGAGATGCTATGTTTGTTACAAAATGGGATACATTGCAAAGGAGTGCAAATCCATTACCAGCAAACAACAGGAGAAATCTCAACATAAAGCAGCTGGGGCTATTTACAGGGATAGTGCTGGGAAGAAACAAGAAAAGAGTGACTGGCACCACGGATGCTACTGCCAAAAGAAACAGAATCAAGAAAACACATCAGATTCACCACAAGAGGGAAGTGCCAATTCCATGATTGATCAGTGCACAACTAATAGTCAGCTCAAGTTAGCAAACAGATCAACAGTGCCAGTAATGGTTTGGCAATGTGACAAACATCAAGAGGTGATACCAAATCACAACATGCCAGTAAGTGAAGGATATGTTGGGGACAAGAAAGTGAAGGTTCTACGAGCCACTGGGTGCAGCAGTGAGAACCAGTCTAGTATCTGATTATCAGATGACAGGCAAGGTACGCCTGTGTGTGCTAATTGATGGGACACTGAGAAAGTTTCCCAAAGCAAAAATAAAGATGAATACTCAGTATTATGTAGGAGACCTTGAGGCCATGTGTATCAAGGAACCAATATACAACTTGGTGATAGGAAACATACCAGGTAGTAAAAATTTGAAGGAAGTGCAGAAGAAAGACCCTTCACCACAGAAACTTCGGGACAGTACCCAAGAGGAAGTCAAGCACAAGACAAAGAAGAAAGAGACTTGCAAAACAGAGGACCAGATAGGAATATTAAACAAGACCTATCAAAACAGTTTTACTGGGGAAGCCAAACACAGTCAGAAACACTTCTATAACAAGAAGGCCAAGGGTTGACGTTTCAAGGTCAGACAGAAGGTTTTAATTCTGCTACCCATAGCCAACAGCAAACTCACCTTGTAGTAGAAAGGACCTTTCACAGTACAGGAAGTGGCCAACAGAATGCACTATAAAATGAAAGTTGATGGAACAACCTTGGTCTACCATGCCAACGTTTTGAACAGGTACTTTGAGAGAGAACAAGACCTTACAGGTGCAGCTATTGATGTACAGATGGACATGGCAGGTGTGCCTGTCATAGAAGCAGAATCTGAAGACAATGACTTCATTATAGAAGATAAGGACCTACTAGGCCTAAGAGCACTGGGTGGAGATGAGACATACATGGACGTCAACATAAATGAAAAACTGACTGGTAAGAAGAAGAAAAAGGAACAAAATCTACTGTGTCAGTATACAGATAGATTTGGAAATACAGACCCCAGACAACACAAGATCAAGATAAAGACAAGGGATCCTGTCAAGGTGAAGCCCTATTGGAGGCCCTACGTGAGAAGAGACTGACAAAGGAACTGCAAATGTTGGTGTAGACTTATGAGAAGACTTAGTATATGAACTAAGAACAAAACAAATTGTAAATATTTCTCTTGAATAGGAGCTTATGTCAGATATAAAAGACTGTTTAGTGTAGGTAGTATTATTAATTTATTTATTTTGCATTTGTAACTCATTGTTGTCAAGGCCATTGAATGTTGTGTTTGCAATCCATTGATGTTGAAGGCTATGGAGATTTCTAAAAGGCCTAAGTTATAGACGTATAAATAGCTATGACCAGACGAGCGGAAACAGAGTAAAAGTAAAGTCATGTGAAAGAGAAGTTCAGTCAGAGAAAAGTTAGAAAACATAAAGTTAACTGTTGTGGAAGTGAATGGCCTAACAATTGATATGTTAGAGTGAGATTAACCCTTTTGAGATGGGTCATGGGTGAAAGGCCATG